ACCCGAACAACTCCCCGAAGTAAGATATCTTCCTCGGTGTCATTCGGGTTTGGCGGTACAACTCCGGGACAATCAATGAGGTAGATCCTCCTCATCAGGGTGATATACTGCCAGACTTTCGTCTCTCCGGGAATAGGCGCCACGTTACAAACTTTCTTCTTTCGAAGAGTGTTGATGATCGAAGACTTCCCGGTGTTGGGATACCCAATGAATCCCACCGAAATCTGCCTACGCTCGGAGTGGAGCGAGGAGAACTGCCGAAGCAGCTGGATCAACGAGCCTTTGCCAAATGAGTTGTTGATGGATGCATGGAAGGCAAGTGTGGGGTATTCTTTAGACAGGTGTCGAACCCAAGCAGCCTGGAACGATCGTCAGCGATCAACTACCTACAGAAAAAAATCGAAGAAGAAAGACTTGAGTCATGCGTGAATGTGTGAGATGTTACTATGAGCTCTGCTACGGGACCACCATGCGGCAGTAAGCAGAACTCAACTCTTAAACAAAACACAACTTAGCCCTATGCGACAAAGCTTTCAGAACGAAAGTTTGTCAACCCAAACCTCAGAATGAGGATGGGCGGTGGGCAAGAATTGATCTGCCAAAGCTGTAACAGACAAAACTTCCATGGAGCAAACGGCAATAAATTGCGCAGGAAGAAGTCCTGACTTAGCAATGGCACCGGCAACTTGCCAGATCGCTAATGCATAATGCAGGAAAAGGAAATCAAAACAAAAGCTGCTAGAGGTCCAACTTACAGCCACTTTTGTGGGCACCAAGTCACACTTGTTGAGCACAAACACCAGGTGCTTGTGCGGAGCCTCTTCGCGAATGTACTTCTCGATGCTCCTGCACCTCGTCCCTTCGGGATCCCGAGCATCGAGGACATGAACCACAACATCTGACGAGTCGATCACCTTGTAGAGTTCGTTCCAGATTCGCTTACTCTGTCCCTTTGAGAACACTGGTTCTCGCGCCGTCACCAATGTACCGTCATCCTCGGCGTCGTCGCCAGCACCCGAGTTGCCGCTGAGCAGCTTAGCCTGCTCCATTCTTTCTTGGTAAGAATCGTGCATCTTCACGGTCTCTCCCGCGAGGTCCTCCAAGGAGGACACGTCCAGTTTGACGCGCTTTCTCTGCGCCTTGGGTCCAAAGGTCTCGCTAAACGGTTCCGATTCTACAGTCATCTTTGCACGATGCTGTTTCAATCCATTGGGCAGCTGTTGGCCATCCTTAATCAGACTCATGGGAAGCTTGTTCGTCTTCAGGAGGACTTGGTAAGGATCCGAAGCCCGTTCCGCGACAGCCTCGCGGAAAGAAGCCAATGCCTCCTGGGATATCACCCGAGTGTTGCTAAACCACTTCCGATTTGGTTCTATCCGCGCCTTTGGTATCTCTTTGGACTGGTATGGGGCAGCCTTGATTATCTTCCCGGAAGCATCCCGTTTGGGTTTACCCTCTTTGAACATGTTCAGGGTCCTCAACTTTTTCGCATCTCTGCAGACAGTCAGTATTGGCCAACAGGAGCATCATGCCAAGCAATGTATATGCATGTACACGACGGTCGCATGTTGCCAAATGCAGCAATGCAACTCACCTGTAGAAGTTTTCACCTTTGACCTTGACATTGGCCATTCCATCCCCCGTCTTCCCCTGCCGCTCTCTACGAGCGGCTTCCTTTTTCCTGGTACCCATGGCGACTAGTACCCTTTGTTTGTTCCTGCCAGGAATCTAACAAAGGAATAGTCAACGGTGTAGGAGAACAAGAACCTGTCGTGGGGTGGTTTGACGGTAAAAAGAGAGCGGTAAAAAAATTTGGGCGTTGATCGTAGTGCCGGCCGCCAAGCGTCGGAGGTGCACGGGCCACGCAGAAGAAAATCGCTTCAACCTCGATGCCGCGACACCTCCGCAGCTCCTGAAATTCAACATTCAGCAGTCCTGCTTCCTACGCAGGCTGGCAGCTGGCAGCTACCTACACCAATTCATATTGAACCGTTTTTCTTATTATGTTCTAATTTCCGTTCCTTGCCTACGTTTACTCTGCAAGTTATCTCGCCCTTTCTTTGCGCTTCCCAATGTCGCTTTACCGTACCTGCCGGGCTGCCACGGTGCAGGTCCGGAGCTTCTCATCATCCTCCTGTCGTCGAGTTGGACCAGAATCGCCCAATTTCATTGATGTACCGCAACCGTTGCAACCAGATCTGCCTCAAAAGCCCCGGGTGAAGGGCACGCTTCCTGTCCCTCGGGAGCTCTTTCCCTCCCGTCGGAAAGATAAGCCCACGGAGGCGTACATCTCGGCCGCAACTCCCTTGCCCTCGAAAGAGAGAACTATCGATCCCGATGACCCAAATAAAGAATTGATTGAATGGAAGCAAAGGATGGCCGAGATAAGGAGGAAAAACCTCCGGGAGGGTCTTCTGGAATTGTACGAACGCAAGAGAAAGACGGAAAAGATGATGGAGAAGCGCAGTCGCGAAAAGCAGGCCCAGCGGGAGCGCATTTTGCGTCAGCCGCAGAGGGAGGATGAGCGCTTGACGAGCCCCTCCGTTATTCAGGCCATGAAGCCAACCAAGAGTGGAGTCCTGCCAGACCCAGACCGGGAAGAACGTCTTGCGCAAGCCCGGCAGCGCGTTCAGGCCAAGGAGGCCGAGAAAAGAGCGGAGCGGCTAGATTCCTTACACACATTGTATATGAACGCCCGCAACTTTATCACCACGGAGGAGCAGCTCGCTGCCGAGATCGAGAGAGTCTTCCCTGAGGGCGAGAACCCGGCATGGCGCAATGACCACCAGCCTGGAGAGAACATCTGGAACCTGGGTCTGCCGCCGACGATCCAGTCCATTGTCACGGACGCAAAGAAGAGCGAGGCTGCCCGTTGGGATGTTATTCAAGGCAGAGTCAAGAAACTGGCGGAAGAGATTACGGGTGGGAAGATGTGAAGTATTCAGTGGATGCCTTTGTACTGTACATTATCCATACGGGTTCTTTCTGGAATATCCCCCAGACACTTCTCTTTTTCTTTACCTCCTGTATTTGTCTAGTGGAAGAATAAAACTGTTTGGCTCCTTGACGGATGAATTGTCATGTGGAACTGCCCAGTCTGTTCAAGACCTGCTTGGGTAATGATTTGTTCACTGCTGTTAGACCAGACCGGGCCATGTGCCTTATTCCCGATTTCTTGAGGCGAGGCGCTGCTGTAGATCAAATCAGGAACAGATGTCTCCGAACTCGGAGTGATTTGATAGACAGAGGAAGCGTGAGAGTATAGGCATACTGTTTGCTGATGACCAGGCCATGCAACCACCACTACAGAGACTCCATGCCGGTCTTGAACGCTTTCTTCACATCGGCCGAGTCATGTCACTGGACTCGTCCGTTGCTTTCTAGAACAACGGCAATTCTTAGTAATCGTCCTCTGTCCTTTGCAGTCATTCATTCGACGGCAGGTTCTTGAGACCGTGCCAGAGATGCTAGACAGTTTGGCAGCTTATGTCAACCAAGCATAAGCATAGACTCAGGGAGATAGTCCTTTATCCGATCAAGGAAGAGGAGAGCACCATCGTTTTCCTCGGTACTCTTTTCTGACGATAATAATAGAAATGGCAATGAATAACAGAAACAACGACCCATCTCATATTCTGGCTGGTTACGTATTCTCTGGCGTGGGTACAAGTGTTATTCTTATTATCTGATCATTACTGAAGTAGATGGGTGAACCAGGACCTGCATGCAGTGGAAAGCGCTGTCTTTGGCCGATGCGCCCTGCGGCTTTCGTCACCACGCTCTCTCCCACCAATGACTTCCTCTTTGGGGATCCGCCCTCGATCCCGCCAAAAATAGAAGTGACGTCCGAATCTTGCCCAACAGGATCAAGCAGCACACGAGCTGATCACCGCCCATCGACGATATCAAGTTAGCCAGTGGATCTGGCGTGCACAGAAAGGGGAATTGGTACGGAGCTTGGCACATGAATTATGCTTAGTGGAAGTCTAATTCCACGTTCGTCGTCTTTACTCCCTTAGACACATTGGATGGCCATGATGCTGATACTCGATATGCATAGCACTTGATCGTCGTTATTGCCTGATGCTGTTGACCAATCCTCCTCAGGGGATCTGAGAGGATCTGCGGAAGAAAGGGTCAGGAACACCGCAGATGGAGCGAGTTGGTTCCAGCAAACGTGTTCTCGTCCGACTTATCCGAGCCAGAGTCGTGAGCCGTCGACATCCGAAGCGTCCTCGATGAGTAACCTTGGTTCAATGCTAAATCCAGGACACTGGACTGGTTATCTGCGATCTTCCGAAGGGCCGCAGCGATCTTCGTCGTCCTTGCCACAGAGAACTATCCAGAACCAGCATAGCCCACCTGGAAGCCGCAGACATCGTTGGACGTATGTCAGGGCGAAATGGCTCGCTATCCAACGGACGTAATGTCTTCAACCTTCTCCACGTTTAGAGCCTGACAAGCCTTAGACGCATAATGACAAGAAAATGATCGACAGAGCTCTCCGTTGGCAGGCCACGCCTATTTCCACATGGATCGCTTCTACGCTCACAGCTGAGACATGACGACTGTACACTCCCTCCCCACCCGTTCTCCGCTTGACATCTATTTACTGGGCGATTCTCCGTGGGTCATACGATCGGTTCCGGCTTCCCCCCGGCGTGGCTCAGTTCTTTCCTCTGTAGAATATGCTGGGGCTGTGCAGCATTGCAGCGGTTCTATCTTCTCATGGGTGGATCCGACAGAATAACTGGCATTGTTCTCTTCCTCGAGAATATGGTGGAGCATCCGATGGAGCTATATCCGATTCCTTTTGTTCCCGGATGTTCATCCATGACGTCGAGGCTGCCCGCGTTAACTTATAAATACCATCGGAACATCCCTCGTCCTGGGGGGTGAACGAGAATAGCAATCAGCCCTCTAGAGAGCTCAAGAAATATATACCAGTTCCTCCAACTCTCGCTCGTGTTCATAGCGGTCTATCGCTTCTGATCGTTGGAGAATTACTACTCCCCATGATGAAGACTGTTGGTACGATCGCCGCTATTGCGGTTGGAGCGAATGCTCTGGTTGCCCGTGACGCCACTTGCTGCTTCGGCTTGACTGCCTCTGGAGGGGCTTCCGGAACGATTGGCCAGCTTGGAGATGGACAGAACCGTATCGGCGGTGGACTTCCTCCTGCTCAATTTTGCATCGATTCCAGCGGAGGCATCAAGGACAGCAGTGGACGCGGATGCATTCTGACTCGTAAGTTTGCTCCTCTCCCAAACGGCAGGGAACTCAGCTAACATTGAGTCTAGCTCCTACGTCCCAATTCCAGTGTGATCAGGGAGCCGCGCCTACGAATGGATTCTCGATCAGTCCTGAAGGAACGCTTTTGTACCAGGGAAGCTCTCACTTCGTTGCTTGTGAGACTGGTGACAATGGCGAGCTGAACCTCTACACCAACCCGCCGTCCAATGCTGTGACCGGTTGCAAGGAGATCACCCTTACGGCCAGCGGTTGCAAGGGCCAGGGCTCCGGCTCGTCCTCCTCGTCCTCTGTCTCCCCTTCACCTCACTCGAGCGCTTCCCTTGCTCCTCACTCCAGTGCTCCAGTTCCTCACTCCAGTGCCCCGGTTCCTCACTCCAGCGCCCCGGCTCCCCAGTCCAGTACCCCGGCTGAGAGCAGTACTCCGGCTCCTCACTCTAGCGCGCCGGCTGAGACCAGCGCTCCATCTTCCAAGTCCAGCGCCCCAGGTCCTCAGTCGAGTGCTCCAGTTCCCGGATCGAGTGCTAAGCCAACTCCTACGGAGACTCACGCCTCTACCTCCACACCACAGCCGTCTGCTTCTAGCTCTGGATGCCCGACCAACCTGTCTGGAACGTATGAGTATCCTCACCTGATTGTCCCCATTGATTCGTCTGCTCCATCCAAGGCGTATGGCACTTCCTACAATGGGACGGTCACTTCTACCGTCTCATCCATCTTCAACTTTGACATTCCGGCAAGCGACTCGGGCAAGCAGTGCTCTCTGGTCTTCCTCTTCCCCGAGAAGAAAGATCTGGAGACCTCCTCCTACAGCTTCAGCGGCAATGGCGCGATCGACTTTGCCCAGCTGCAGTCACCTGCCACTCAGTCCACGACCTATAGCAACGCGCCGGCGGTCAAGACTGACTACGGTGTCACTACTGTGTCCCCTGGCAACTCCTACAGGATTGCCACGTTCTCTTGCCCTGCCGGAGAAACTGTTGCCTTTGAAATGAAGAATGCGGGCACCACCAACCTCAACTTCTTCGAGGACTACAACCCATCACCGTAAGTAACCCATCGATGTTTGAGGACGATAAACGGATGGATGACTAACTTTGATGCAGGCTTGGTCTTTACATCACCGTCTGCTAAAGGACAAAACGATTGTCATCTCAACGAGCTACCACTGCTCTTCGATTCGTCGGGAAGCCTTAGGGTTCACCGTGTATTAATGTCAACATTTTTCTCTCCTTATGAATACCTAATGTTGCTATGATGATGAGCCCTATGACTTCGAATCGGCACACGTTCCTTAATGCCAGGACTTGAATAATATGAAAAAAAAAAGGCAATATGTATGTACTGTACAGTTAAAATCTTAAAAAAAAAAAGAATAAAATGTGTTAATTCTTGAGCCATCCTTATCTCGTAAGGTTGAAACCCGTTCAAGTATCATTCCTAGCCAGATCTAGCAGAGGTGGACCAATCGGGTCAGCCCTTCCTATGTGATAGGACAAAGCAATAGTCAGATGAGACAGATCAGTCACATTCTTACTCTTAACCGGCTTTATATCTAGCATTTTTGCACTATTGTACTTGAGGTATTGGACCTGACAATGGATTACTTAATCGATGTCACTTTGACTGGCTTTATGTCAAGAATTCAGGTTTACACAATGGGGCTTTTGACTCTGAGCCTGACCTAAGCTGACCTGACCTGACCTGATAGTGAAATTCTTTTTGTCTGACTTCATGCTGAGTCTTCAATAACCTTGCTGACCAGAACTCTTGTATAAGTCCCAATAATAGACAGATTGAGGAGGTAGAGTACCAGCTCAACCTCGCCGCCACTAGGTAACACACATGGTCTCGGCGGAAAGAATGCTGAGTAGGTTTCCTGGTCAAATAAATGGCCTTTCCTGACCTGCTGTTTTGCGTAACACTGTCAGTCAACCTCGCCGGCACTAGACTACACGCATAATCTCGGCGAAGAGAATGCTGAGTAGAGTCTCAGGCCAACCTTGCCATGACTAGGCTACACGCATGATCTCGGCGGACAAATTACAGAGTAGCATCTCAGGGCAGCAGTCAGCCTGACCGCCACTAGAGGACACGCATCATCTCGGCGGAGAGAATGCTGGGTAGGTTATTTTATCAAAGCAGCAATGGCCTTGCCAGACCTGGCCTGTTGTGTGAGTCTCAGAGTATTATTCTCTTGAATAGAGAGTGCCAGTCGGCCTTGCCGCCACTAGAGCACAGGCATGGTCTCGGCGGACAAAATGCTGAGTACATAGGTACCTAGGCGATTGCCAGACCTGAGGTGTCACGCAAATCTTGGCGGAGAGATTGTAGAGGGAGACCTCAAGTTGACTAACATAAAGAGCTGTATGGACTCGATGCTCCCATTAAGTAGGGTCAAGCCACAAGAAATTGGACAAAGAATTCACATTCTGGTCAAAGAAACACTACAAAGAAATCTCTTGCTTAAATTGCAGAACTGAACTATTTCCAGCCTTTTGGTTTATTGTGATTTGTGAGCATTTCGATTTATTGTAGGACTCTGCGGAGTAATACTCCTTATGGGGTTATTTGTATTATTTACTCCCGAGGAGGCTCGGGTTTGTTGCGGCCAAGAGCTAAGACCCCGGAGACCCGTCAGCCGCCGATCACGACGATATTATTAGAGGCGCCGTTTGTAGGATAAGACTGTACCATACGGGAAGGGGCTTAGCACATGGCAAACACTAAAAACAGGCGTCGTGAATCTTCGTTATTCCTCGTCGAGTGGAGACAGCAACCTGCCAGGAGGCCCAAGCAACAGCCTACGTGGACAGGCAATGGCCAGGCCTGAAATAATAACAATAGAAAACCTGGAAGCCTAGAGGCCCCACACCTGTACCTAACCCCAAGGCTTGTCGCAACTTGGCGCTGACCTTCCTCTTAGAAGCACACGGATCGCGATCAGATCCCTCGAGACAGTCCAACGGACTGCATTCTAGACGCGACCTGTTGCCTGCTTTGTGGAGAGTGGACCTGCTTCCCTTACGACGGTGACAACGTGCGCTTTTTTCATTTACTCTCTGTTTTTTCCCTTTTTCCTTCTCTTTCAGTTCCCTTCTTGATGTCATTCGGTTCCTAGAGAGGCATGAGTCTGTTGCGCTGTCGCTTGCACCTCCTGTCTCTGTCGATTTAGAGAAAATGGACCAGATTCCGTCCAAGCTTCCCTTCTCCAAGAAGCGGCTACGAACCCGCGTTGTTCTCTCGTACGTGCACGCCATCCTGCGACTTTCCCGACCGCCAGTTCTCATTACTAAATTCCGGCTTCTAGGTATATCTTCGACTATGTAATCATCATGTTGGTTCTCCCTACACCCCGTTCGTTGTGATCGCGCCACGCCGTTGCATGCGACCGCTCGCTGCATCCAATTGCTCCCTGTCTCGGCCGCCGCTAACGGTTCTCACAAAACAGCGCCCTCTTCATCGGATTCTATATCCTCGACGCCGTCGAGCCCTACCATCAGCATTTTTCGTTAAGGAACATTAGCCTGCAATATCCCTATGCCGTTAAGGAGCGCATTACCATCCAAGAGGCTCTCTTGATCTCTCTGGCCTTCCCCATCGTCGTCATCGCCGTCTATACCCTCGTCATCGATGGCCTCTTTTCGCACCACAAGCCTTCTTCCAAGGAATCTACGTCGGGGCGGAGGAAGCTGTCGGGCAGGTATCGATGGAAGGATCGGCTGTGGGAACTGAATTGTGGAATTCTGGGTTTGTTCCTGTCGCAGGCTCTCGCGTTCGTCATCACGCAGGTGTTGAAGAACGCCTGTGGGAAGCCCCGACCCGATCTGATTGACCGGTGCCAACCCCGGCCTGGCAGCGAGGATCACCCTGTCTACGGTCTCTCGAACTCCACAATCTGCACGGGGGATCCGAAGATCTTGAAGGATGGATTCCGGTCTTGGCCCTCTGGTACGTGTCTCCGTCTTCCCCGTGAGATATCAAATGCTGACTCGATTGTTCAGGGCACAGTAGCTGTAAGATTGCTAGACATGGATGATGGTGGATGATCACATGGCTAATATTGATAGCTTCCTTTGCCGGCCTCTTTTACCTCTCTCTCTACCTTTGCGGCAAAATGCACGTCCTCGACAATCGGGGCGAGGTATGGAAGACGATCATTGTGATGATTCCGTGCCTGGCAGCTGCCCTTGTCGCGGTGTCGCGCATTATGGATGCCCGGCATCATCCATTCGATGTCATCAGTGGCTCGCTGCTTGGAGTTTTCACGGCCTGGGCTTCATATCGCCAGTACTTCCCTCCAATTTCCGAGGCATGGAGGAAGGGGAGGGCCTATCCGATCCGCAGTTGGGGAACCGAGCCAACGCCGCCCATGAGTCAAGAGCGGTCCCTCAAGTATGCAGAGAGCGTGGAGCCACTCCGGAATCCAGACGAGGAGAGGCTGGACGTGCGGGGCGAACGGCGGATGAGTCTGCAGTCCGGGCGAGGTGCTTCCACCAGCCCTTCGCCGCATCCTGCTGCGCTTCAGCCGGGGGTGTATAACCCCCGTCATCGCGGCCGGGACGACAATTACTCATCATCCTCGAGCGAGGATGAGGCAGAAAGGTTTGAGATGACTACTACTTCTACTGCTCATTACGCACGACCCGTGAACGTGACACTGCCGCGCACCGCGTACCAGCCGTATGATACCGATACGGCCTACCATCCGCCCAGTCACCAAGGAGACCGTCCCGCCGCCGTGTCGAATGTCGACAATCGAGGACGACCGTTGACCTCTGAGCGGGGACCAGGGGAATCATGAGACTGTATGACAGAGTTGACTGGCCCGCTCAGAAGGGCGGAGTTGGTTTTGGCATGTTCTGGGATTGTATTTTACGATGCTTACGAGATCTGACACTGTCCTGATCAGCATATGATGTGCATTTTCTTTTCTCAACAGCAGGTGGCATTACGTCGTTTATGAGGGACCTTAAAACAGACGTTGCTCAAAAACGTTCATCTCGATATGCAAGCTTAGTCGTAGATCGATTTGCAGCTGCTTACGTTACTGTCAGAGACACTCTGATGAGCTTCTATCAACTAACTCTGCTACTGTCAGGTATCCTCATTAAGCCTAGAAACCTTTCTGAAGAACATACTCCGTACTGTACTTTTGAACCCTTGGAGAGTGCCTGGCAGCAGTGAGGATACTTGGGGACCTCGATGTTTTGGTTGGTCACCTGGGAAATAGAGTAATACGGGCGTTCGGGCCTGACGGGACGAACGAACGGACGACCCATGGTCCACCCCGCGGTTCGTCCCGCGCCCACTGAGAGCTCAGAGAAGGTGATTCTAGAACCTGGATCGGGATTAATACTCATTGCTGACACTGCACGTGCAGAACGAACGATCCAGATCCAGATGCGCTAAATGGAGTTTAAAGGGTGACGGCTCCAGGGCTCGTGGCCTGCAGGGGATGGATAGGATCGAGCCTTACCTACGGAGTACAGTACATCTCCACTTGCTGAAGAGGGGCCATGTGTACGGAGTACGGCGTATGTGTGTGTGGCAGGGGAGAAAAAAAAAGCCCGATGGCTGGAGCCACGAGGGCGAGATCAGGATTTAAATTGGCTATTAACTGTTACTGGGCAGAAGTTAATTAGCTAGCTAGTGCCTTGGTATTATCGCTGACGTCGGGTGCAGGCATGGATGGTGGATGGTTTCCCCGCCATCTGAATTTATCACCTGCAACTTCCCAGCCTCCTCCGGCCCAGCGCAGCGTGGTTTTTTACAGACCCTTGTAGGTTGTTTTTTCTTTTTGTTTTCCGTCACCTATTCTTCGCGATTTTTCTTTTCTTTTATTTTCACTTTGTGACAGCTCATCTTGGAAAATTCGCGTTGCGCTGTCAAGCTAACATAGAAGCTGTGTTGTCACAGCCTTCTGGCAGCTGTTTGTCATTGCCCCACAACACTGCGTATCGGTCTGTGCACATACAGATATCTATCTATCCATACGGTTTGCATACAGGAAATACTCCAAGTGCAACTGGCTCAAAATGTTTGAAAGTGTCCTTTTTATATTTTGGCGACTGGTGGAGATCACCTTTTTGATTCCCATTATTGGCATGTTGGTGAGTATTTACTTTTATGTCTTTTACCTCGAGAGTCGAGACACTTGGGCCTGTCGACTGACTGGCTGCATGCAGGCATACTTTGTCAATGGCTTCCTCAACAGTAACCAGCTTACGCCAGCCTACATCCTGGTACTCTTCATTGTCAGCGTGATCGCGGTCTTCTGGTGCTTGGATACGCTGATCCGCTTCCGCACCACCAAGCGGTCAGCTGCCTTTGTCGCTTTTGTGGACCTCTGCTTCTTCGGCGCCTTGATTGCTGGCGTTTACGAGCTTCGCTTCATCGCGGGGGCAGACTGCACGGATTGGAATGGCGGTTCTGTCCGGGTGTCCCTGGGTCCGTTTGGATCCCTCGACTACCAAACTGACCACTTCACTGTGGACATCAACAAGACATGCGCCATGCTGAAGGCTTCTTTTGCCATGGGAATCATGGAGGTCGTCTTCTTCTTTTTCACGGCCTTCTTTGCGCACTTGATCTTCCGGAATCACCAGGATGACGTGGTAGTTAAGGAGACAGTGGTGAGGCGCCGAAGCCATAGCAGCCGACGAGGACACCACCACAGTCAGAGCCGCAGGGGATCTTCGAGTCGGCGGCAACATTATGTGGTCTAGACAGAGACGAAAATTACAAAATGATGAAAGACAAACGGGATCAGCTCCGCGAGCGAATGGACATGCAACCAGAAAGATGACTACAGTGCCACTTGACGAAAACTTGGATGAAGACTTGGATCTCCTGTGACGACATGACCATGACAAGTGGATATGGATATGAATCTGGAATGGGATGGGATGTTTCTGGAAGTGATGCCCACTGGATGTTTACCTGTTCTTTCCCTGTCTTTCTACTCTGCTCTTCGCCTTCGTTGTTTGTTGGAGAGTGCAAGGCCCAGGCATTTTGTCTTGTATGCCTGGCCTGGCCTTCTCAGTGCGCGCTTATGCGTCTGTCTGTTTGCTCCTTCCCTTGCAAGCCGGGCTTTTCAATCGTGTCATGTCATGCCCTGTTTTGATGACTGTATGTATGTGTATTCTATGTATGTATGATGTGATGAGTGATGAATAATGACTGGAAAGAAGAGCTCAGCAATGATGAATGAATGAATGACCTGACTGGACGAAACAAATACCCTCAAAAAGATATATTTAAGAAATACAGTCAATTCCGTAAGAAAGTGGTATCACGGAGTACTTACTCCCTACTATAATAAATAATCTCAAGACTGAAGAGTGACTGACTGATTTGATACTGTTTTGTTCAAGAGCGGCTGGTCGTCGTAATAGAGCATAAAGTGCGTGTCTATAAAGGCTCCCTTAACCCTGCTGGCCCCTGCATCCCAGTCTCTGCGGGATTGCCGCTATTTCCACGAATACCTCTTCACCCCTCACTCGGAGCCCTCCGTGGCCAGTTATCGGCGGATCCCTGCGATAAGACTCCCAACTGTGAGCTGTCAGACATGGTACACAAGTTCCAATATGCCACTCTAGCCTTGAACAGTGGACTCTATCATGAAACGACCTGACGGCGTTCACTAGGTCAGTCAATTTATACGACTAGTCGTTTGCGTGGCTATCAACTGCAACTATCGACCCTTATGAAAGCTGATATTATATCGATCGGTCAGCTCCGATAATAAGCTTGCGGGAGCTTTGGCCCGTGGATTGCGGGGAATTACCAACGAGTACGGTGCACGCATGAATTCTACACTCTTCAAATATTTTTGACTATAGTCGTGATCATTTTCATATCTATCTCCTTGATAGGCTGATTTCAGGTAATAATTTTTTTGTGTATTTCTCTTTGTCTGCATTATTCAGAGCGCGAAGCAGAGGAGCAGCAACGAGGATATTGCAGTTTGATGACCTCAATTTATACAAAATACTCCAGCTGAATGCCGGCATCATGGAGGATCCTCCCCCTGAATATGCGAACGGGTATTACGATGAAGCTGTAGAACAGCTCCGCGAGCGTGAATATCCCTCGCTTAAAGGTGCGTTTTGCTACTGCTCCCAAAGAACTGTGTAGGTGGGTGGGTGGCTTACTGTTGAGCTTTTTTTTTAAAAAAAATAAAGATGTCACCTACCTCGACCACGCCGGCACAACTCTCTACGCAAAATCCCTGATTGAATCCTTCTCGCGCGATCTGACTTCGAATCTTTTCGGCAATCCCCACTCTGCCTCTGCGTCCTCCCAGCTGACCACGAATCGCGTCGACGATATTCGGCTACGGGTTCTCCGCTTCTTCAACGCCGACCCGGATGTCTACGACCTCGTCTTTGTGGCGAACGCGACGGCGGGGATCAAGCTCGTGGCAGATGCCCTGCGGGATTATGGTGAACGACGGTCCGGTTTCTGGTACGGCTACCATGTCGAGTCCCATACGAGTCTGGTCGGGGTGCGCGAGGTGGCCGATGCGGGAAATAAGTGCTTCATGACGGACGACGAGGTCGAGAAGTGGATTGCTGGGTTGGGTGAGGATGCACCACCGACATCGCCGGAAGACGAGACTCCGAAGCTCTTTGCCTACCCTGCTCAGTCAAATATGACAGGCCGCAGACTTCCTCTGAGATGGTGTAAGGAGATTTGTCAGGCTAGGAAGGGAAATTGTTTCACTCTTCTTGATGCTGCAGCGCTGATATCGACCGCGCCGTTGGACCTCGGCGATCCTTGCCTCACCCCCGACTTCGTGGTCCTCAGCTTCTATAAGATATTTGGTTTTCCTGACCTGGGAGCGTTGATTGTCCGCAAGGATTCGGGACATGTCTTCCGCCGGCGGCGGTATTTCGGCGGTGGTACAGTGGACATGGTCATCGCATTGGGGACCCAATGGCATGCCAAAAAGGAGGTGTCGATACACGATCAGTTGGAAGATGGTACTCTTCCATTCCATAATATCATCGCTTTGGATTCTGCACTGGAGGTGCACAAGCGATTGTACGGCTCAATGGCCAATATCTCGAGCCATACCGGCCTTCTGGCCAACGAACTGTTCGAGCGTCTATCCTCCCTCAAGCATTACAATGGTTCTCCGGTCTGTCAGTTATATACGTCGCCGTCCTCCTCGTATACGGATCGGTCGACGCAGGGTCCAATCATCGCTTTTAATCTTCGGGATAGTCGCGGGAACTGGGTTGGAAAGTCGGAAGTCGAGAAGCTTGCTTCGGTCAAGGGCATCCACTTACGATCTGGAACCCTCTGCAACCCAGGCGGTGCGGCCAGTCACCTCGGGCTAAATGATACTGAAATGCTACAAAATTTCAGCGCGGGCCAGCGCTGCGGAGACGAACACGACATCATGCAAGGGAAGCCAACGGGTGCTCTGCGAGTCAGCTTCGGGGCGATGAGCAGCTGGGGAGATGTAACGACATTCATCAACTTCATTCAGGAATTCTACGTTGACAAGGGCCCAGTCGTCGCGCCGGCACTTTCGACCCCTATCGCAAACAGCAGATTCTACGTTGAGAGTCTGTGTGTCTATCCCATCAAGAGCTGTGCCGGCTTTAAAGTGCCACAGGGGATGTCCTGGCGGGTGAACCGAGAGGGCCTGGCATGGGACCGAGAGTGGTGCCTCATCCATCAGGGGACAGGCGTGGCACTCAGTCAGAAGAGGTATCCACGAATGGCTCTGATCCGGCCTTATATCGATTTAGACCGAGGTGTCCTTCGAGTTACCTGCGGAGGCCTACTATCCTCGACCGAGGAAGGGCACCTTGAGATTTCTCTAGCCAGAGATGACCCGGAGCTTGTCTCGGCTGAAATGTGTCAGAATTCCATGCAAAAGTCCTCGACCGTCTGCGGAGACCGGGTGATTGTGCAAGTGTACTCGTCTCCAGCGGTGTCGTCATTCTTTTCCGATTTCCTGGGAATTCCCTGTACGCTGGCTCGACTTCCGCCACAGACCTTTACGCGTTATTCCAAAGCCCATCCTGCTGAGCGCCCTGTTCATGAGAGACCGGACATGTCCATGCCTGGCTCGTTCCCAGATGCTACAAGCTCGCGTGGGAAACCGCAACAGAATCCTATCTTGTTATCCAACGAAAGTCCCATCCTTCTGATATCGCGTTCGTCTGTGAACCGACTGAACGAAAGCATCAAAGCCAACTCGAAGACGGGGACTGGTATCAACAAAGCCGTTGCCGCAGACGTCTTCCGAGCCAACATTGTCGTCGCAGAGAATCTGTCCGCCACCACCGCTGCTTCCGGTGAGTGTAGCGGTGAACAGCCGTACATCGAAGACAGCTGGACATCGCTCCGCATCGGCCCACACGGACTGGAATTCGACGTTCTCGGCTCCTGTCGGCGATGCCAGATGGTCTGCATCGACCAGCTGACGGCTGAGCGGCGCGAGGAGCCCTTTTCGACCCTGGCCAAGACGAGACGGATCGGCGGCAAGATTTTCTTTGGTCGACATATCGGCCTCTCTTCTTCATCTTGTACTGGTGACGATGATGACGGTAGCGAAGGCCGGTCGATCCGTGTTGGGGACGCTGTTATCCCGTCGTATGACTGATATGTTGTTACAATACGTGATGCATCATATTACTCTGATGGCTGACCGTTACTTTCATAATCTGTCTTATCCTTTTTCTTGCATTCGCATTCGGGTGAGGAGTATGGTCAAGGTCGGATATGCATGTTATATACTTACTGTGTATATAGTTCGACCCAAGGTATTGCAGCAGGTTGCTCATACAGTTCATGTCATGTTTCCATCAGTTTAATCAGATTAATCGATTTGACCAGGCACTGCTCTAGTTTACGATCCAGAACGCATTGTCTACCCGAGAGAATCTCCTCAAAACGTTTGCATTTTGTATAGTACACCTAGTAGAGTACATTCCAGGAGATCGATATCCTTTTCTCTCTTTGCCCTGTTTATAAAGAAAACACCCGTAACTTAAACAGATTCTAATCGAACAGACAATTTTGCCGACATGGATGATGTGAGATGATGGAGAGAACAAACAAAGGCTTCCACCAGAGCCTTTCCGAGACAAAAAAGAAGAAACAAAAAGCGATAAAGAAAGAAGTAACACCCGTTGATTACCTCTTGGGCCACTTCTTCCATCCTCTTCCGTGACCTCTCTAAATTTAGGACAAAGGTTAGAAAATCGTATTCTTCTAAAAGAGAAAAAGGGGAAACAATCTTACCTGCTTCCATTCTCTGATGAGCGCGGGCATCTCCAACATCGCCCTCCTTCTCTCTTCCAGTCTCGACTCCATCGTCCGCTCCCACTGGTGACCCTTGACCTTCTGGCCGATACCGGTACCCTTGATCTGGAGACCACGCTCCATCCGACGCGTTTCCTTGTATATGGTCGATTTCTTCCCCGGGGGCAGCAGCTCCTCGACGCCGTACTTCTTGGCCAGCTTCACCAGATCCGCCTGCTGCCGCAGCCCATAGCGAGGTCCGATCCACTTGCCCGTGCGGTAGTTCTTCCGCGGCAGGAACGGGTTGGGATAGTCCGGGTTGGAGTAGAGGAGCGCCTTCGATGGCGACCACGCTGTCGGGTCCTGCCGCTTGGAGCCCTTGGCGTCTCGATCCGGCGTGTAGGGGGATGGGAGCGGTTGCAGCGCCGTCGTCGATGACGATCCGTCCGATGCAGTATTCGCGGCTGCCAATTCAGGAGGAGGAGTCGGCTTAGGAGCGACCAGTTGCGAGTAGATCTGCGGAGGATATTTGGCGAAGAAGTTACGCAGACGGGTAGGGAGCTTGCTCACCAGGCTCTGAGAGGCCTGGGCAGCCTGCGTCGCGGACATCTTGGGATGGGATTACTCAATGGCCCATCCACGGAGGGGCCGGATCCCGGGCAATGGGAAATTGAGCAATGGGAGGGGGGGTTGTCGACCAGGAGATTGCTCTCTGCTGTATAGAGAGAAATTCACGATGTTGGTCCCCGTAGGCCGGCTGCACACGTCACGCTAGGCCGTGTCGGGAAAGGCCGGCAGTCCTGTCGCCGCAGCGGCTGGCAGTTGGAATCTCCCGATCCGTTGCTGCCGTTGCGCATCTCGACAGACGCCCGCAGCTGCACTCGCCTCTCTCCTCGTGCACCTCCGCAGTCTCTCCCTCTTATCGTCCGTCTACCAGAGCTGCTTATCCTTACCTGTATCCTGATATTTTATATTGGATTTTGAGGGCTTCCCACCGCCATGGCTGACTATAATTTCGGCGGTTCTGAGGAGGAGAATGCGGAGTTGAAAAAACTGGAGACTGAGCTGGTAAGGCCTCTCGACGTGTTCTGATGTATCCGGATCTGTCTAACCATCACTCAACTCTCCTCAGGCTGAGGATCCCGACAACTTCGAGGCGTGGGAGAAGCTGGTCCGCGCCGCAGAGGGCCTCGAAGGCGGCATCAATCGCAACTCCAGCCCGCAGGCTATCACCACGGTGCGAAATGTATACGACAGATTTCTCGCCAAGTTCCCATTGCTGTTCGGGTACTGGAAGAAATATGCCGATCTAGAGTTCTCTATCGCGGGCACTGAAGCTGCAGAGATGGTGGGATTGCCCCTCTCGATACGATGGTTCTTCCGGTTTGTTGCTAACGCATTTTTCTGTGCAGGTCTACGAGCGAGGAGTCGCCAGCATATCGACCTCGGTCGACTTGTGGACCAACTACTGCTCCTTTAAGCTCGAAACCAACCACGACTCAGATGTCATCCGAGAGTAAGTATACATGCACTGGTTTTCCTTCCCTTTGACCGTTACCAACGCAGCGCGGATTTTGTTGTGGGGCCCCGAAAACGCCAGTTGCAGGCATATGATTCCTTGATAAGAGTCCTTGATGATGGGTGAGATAGTTCGCCTACCACCAGGTTCCCTGGGATATACTTCTCACCCATGAGTTTTTTTCAGGCTGTTTCTTTTTCTTGGAGCACAGCAGCACAGATCTTCAACCACAACCAAATCACCCTGTTTGTCGGAGGCTCGTGCATTCTCCGCACGGTGGAGACATGATGACCCTGCTCGTTGATCTTACCTGGGCCCACTGTCACCAAATGATTGACGCTCATGTTTGCCATCCTTGCCTTTCCCCTCCGTTCCCCGTCTCCCTCCCCTCCTCCCCTTGATGTGCATTTGTAAAACTGACGCGCAGCTACATAGACTGTTTGAAAGAGGTGCCAGCAGCGTAGGACTCGATTTCCTGGCCCATCCGTTCTGGGATAAGTACATCGAGTTCGAAGAGCGTCTGGAGGCGTATGATAAGATCTTCGCCATCTTAGGCCGGGTGATCCACATTCCTATGCATCAGTATGCCAGATACTTCGAACGGTACCGTCAGCTGGCTCAGACGCGCCCGGTGAATGAGCTGGCGCCCCCAGAGATTATTTCTCAATTCAGGTCCGAGATCGAGGCAGCTTCTGCGCACCTCCCGCCTGGATCGAAGGCTGAGGCGGAAATCGAACGGGACTTGCGGCTGCGTCTAGACACATACCACCTCGAAATCTTCTCCAGGACGCAGACCGAGACAACCAAGCGATGGACGTATGAATCGGAGATTAAACGTCCTTATTTCCACGTGACCGAATTGGATGAAGGCCAGCTCGCCAACTGGAGACGGTACCTCGATTTTGAGGAGGCAGAAGGCAATTATGTGAGGACCCAGTTCCTGTACGAGAGGTGCCTGGTCACATGCGCCCATTATGATGAGTTCTGGCTGCGATACGCTCGGTGGATGTCTGCGCAGCCAGGGAAAGAGGAAGAAGTGAGGAATATCTATCAGCGCGCCAGCACCATCTACGTGCCAATTGCGAACCCCACGGTGCGACTGCATTACGCCTACTTCGAGGAGATGACAGGACGTGTGGATGTTGCCAAGGATATTCACAATGCGATCCTCGTCACTCTGCCCGGTCATATCGAGACGATCGTTTCCTTGGCCAATCTCTCCCGCCGTCACGGTGGTCTCGAGGCCGCGATTGAAGTCTACAAGGCCCAGCTGGATTCACCGCAATGCGATCTTGCGACAAAGGCTGCTCTCGTCGCCGAATGGGCCAGGCTACTCTGGAAAATCAAGGGCTCGCCGGAAGACGCGAGACAAGTGTTCCAAAAGAACCAGCAGTACTATCTCGACAGCCGTCCGTTCTGGACTAGCTACCTTACGTTCGAGCTTGAACAACCGACGAGTGCAGCCACCGAGTCCGTGCAGTATGAGAGGATCAGGCAGGTTATCGAGGACATCCGGTCGAAGAGCACGCTGTCGGCGGATGTCGTCAAGGAACTTGTGCAGATTTACATGGTGTACCTGCTCGAGAGGGGCACCAAGGAAGCGGCCAAGGAGTACATGACGCTGGACCGGGAAGTCCACGGCCCGACGTCCGTCCAAGCGGCAACTAAGGCGCGAGGCCCTGGTAAAGCTCCTGAAAATGGCTCCCAGCCTGCTCCTGCGCCGGATCATGCAGCTGCGGCTGCTCAACAAAACGCGTATGGCTATTACCAGCAGCAAGTCCCGCCGCAGCAGGCTTCAAATGGAGGGGTAAGACAACTGGCTCCTAATTCTATAATTTCACGTGCTAACTGTTCTCAGGCTCAAACTATGCCTGTCCGTTACTGATGACTGAGATTTTTGCTTAATTGTATTGCTGGTGGCTTGTGTCCTCATCTGTAGAACAGGGTGATCCGTATCCGTCTTATACTTTCGGCGCACTCAGCGGAACATGGCAATATGTTAGGAGTCAGCAGCTTCGACTGCTCATGAATGAATTTCGTTAATGCAATTGATTGGACAGGTATCTGCGATTGCTTCCTTAGTATTATTTTTAATGGAACTTTAATTGCTCTCGTATTAATTCCCTCACTCCTGTAAGCCAGAGATTGTATACACGTGGTGACGTCTGAAGTATACGTCACGTGATTCACCTGCGCTATTGGTCGCTCGGCCCGCCGTAGAAATTGCAGATGGCAAAGCCAAGCCATCCAAGCTGCCCGGACATCAACCACCTTCTTGCCGTCGCTGAAACCTCACCTCCCGCGGGCATCCTAGGGGTCACCATGGACGGGATTCTCACTAATGGCAACGGAGAGGTCCGTCCTCCGGAACCTCCTCCGGAGCCAGTCGAGCGTCCCCCAACGCCTCCTCCAGCTCCGCCAGCTGACTCCGCCCCTCCACCACCACCTCCTCCGCCTCCGATGGACGACGACGCGGCCGCTCCTCCACCTCCTGCAGATACAGATGTCGCCGCGCCTCCTCCACCGCCTGAGGAAGCACCTCCCCCTCCTCCCCCTGCGGCAGACGTGCCGAAGAAGAAGAAAGGCTGGGGATCCTCGAGTTCGGCGCCCAAACCTCTGAGTGTGGAGGAGCTCTTGCGCAAGAAGAGAGAAGCCGATGCGGCGGCTGCTAAGGTGAGTATCTTTGTACGGATGTCCATTTTAAAGCTAGCTAACTTGTCTCTTGTACAGCCCAAGTTCCTCTCGAAAGCGGAGCGAGAGCGCATCGCCCTCGAGAAACGCGCCAAAGAAGTCGAAGCAGAACGACGGGCAAAAGCGGAGCGAGATCTGCCTACGAATGATGTCGACCGTAACGGAACGACGGCCAATGGGAATGCAAATGGTGACGCCAAGTCGATTCCGACGGGGCCACGCGCGTTGCGCAACGGAGAGATTCCTACGGCGCCGGCTGCCATGCGCAAGGAACAGGCGAACAAGGATTACGACATGTCACCTCCGCAACCGCCCAAACCCATTGCGTTCGGCAAGGAGGATTCCAAGGGCGAGAAGCGGAGCGCAGAGGAGGAAGCAGAGGCTGCTCTGATTCGGCAGCGGTATATGGGTGCAGACCAGACGTCCAGTTTCTCCGCGAAGAAGAAGCGCAAGCGGACGACGGAGAGGAAGTTCAACTTCGAGTGGAGTGTTGATGAGGATACGAGTGGTGATTACAACCCGCTCTATCAGAACCGGCAAGAGGCCAATTTCTACGGGCGCGGTCGTCTGGCCGGGTTTGGCGATGATGTCGCAGATAACCTCACGCGGAGGTACGCCAAAGCACTGGAAGATCGCGACCGGGAAGCAGGTAGTATCCGGGCTCGGGAAATCCTGGAAATGGAGAGAAGACGGAAAGAGGAGAGCAGCCGGAACGCCATCGACAAGCACTGGAGCGAAAAGAGGCTGGACCAGATGCGCGAGCGAGACTGGCGGATCTTCAAAGAAGACTTCAACATCAGCACCAAGGGTGGCAGCATACCGAACCCGATGCGGTCGTGGGAAGAATCTGGTCTCCCTCGGCGGTTGCTCGATCTCATCTACAAGGTCGGCTATACCGAACCAACGCCCATCCAAAGAGCGGCCATCCCGATCGCCTTGCAGTCGCGAGACCTCATTGGTGTGGCTGTCACTGGTTCGGGTAAAACTGCAGCTTTCCTGCTCCCTCTGTTGGTGTATATTTCAGAGTTGCCTCGGCTAGATGAGTTTGAGTGGAGGAAAAACGATGGTCCCTACGCCATCATTCTGGCGCCGACACGTGAATTGGCGCAGCAGATTGAGATTGAAGCGAAAAAGTTTGCCGATCCGCTTGGCTTTACCGTCGTCAGTATCGTCGGTGGGCACTCGCTGGAAGAGCAAGCGTACAGCCTGCGGAATGGTGCTGAAATCATCATCGCGACGCCCGGTCGTCTGGTCGACTGTCTGGAACGACGGATGCTGGTTCTGGCGCAGTGCTGCTACGTCATCATGGACGAAGCCGATCGGATGATCGACCTCGGGTTCGAAGAGCCGGTCAACAAGATCCTGGATGCGCTTCCGGTGTCGAACGAGAAGCCCGACACGGAGGAAGCGGAGGACTCGCGCGCGATGAGCCAGCACATCGGAGGGAAAGAGCGGTACCGCCAAACGATGATGTACACGGCGACGATGCCGCCGGCAGTCGAACGGATCGCACGGAGGTATCTGCGGCGGCCGGCGATCGTCACGATCGGAAACGTGGGCCAGGCGGTCGACACGGTCGAGCAGCGGGTCGAGTTCATCGCGGGCGAAGACAAGCGCAAGAAGCGGCTGGCGGAGATCCTCATGTCGGGCGAGTTCCAGCCGCCGATCATCGTGTTCGTCAACATCAAGCGCAACTGCGACGTGATCGCGCGCGAAATCAAGCAGTGGGGCTTCTCGGCCGTCACGCTGCACGGCAGCAAGACGCAGGAGCAGCGAGAGGCGGCGCTGGCGTCGGTGCGCAACGGGACGACAGACGTCCTGGTGGCAACGGACCTGGCCGGCCGTGGTATCGACGTGCCGGACGTCAGTCTGGTAGTGAACTTCAACATGGCGACCAACATCGAGAGCTACACGCACCGCATCGGTCGAACAGGTCGTGCCGGCAAGAGCGGTGTGGCCATTACCTTCTTGGGCAACGAGGATGCCGACGTGATGTATGTCCTTCACCCCTTTATTTTTCATACAGCTTACTAACGTATCTACCTACCTACAGGTACGACCTCAAACAAATGCTCATGAAATCCTCCGTCTCCCGCGTCCCCGAAGAACTCCGCAAGCACGAAGCCGCGCAGTCCAAGCCGACCCGCGGTGCCGGTGCGGCGGCCAAACAGCAGAAGGTCGAGGAGAGCGGTGCGTTTGGTGGGAAGGGCGGCGGATTGTGGTAATGGTACTCTCATCTTCTATTCTTCTCGTTCCTTCGAATATTCATGTCTACGTACGTACGTACGTATGTGCGTATGTAAAATGGATTGATTGATTACACGATCGACGGACGACGATACGGATGCTATCATTGCAAGGTCTTTTTTTTTCTTGGGTTGGCTGGTTCAGGCACTTCTAAAAGAATTGTTGACTGTTACATCCTTTTTTTTCGTTCTCCCTTGGATGGGGTCAATTGCTCGAGCGATTTCATACTTCTACATCTGTACTATACTGGCATCGGCGTGGGCGTGCATACATATGTAATACATAACATACTAGATGAGACGAGAGTTATCCAATGACAATAATTAAAACATGAAAATGGAAAGATAATAAGCCACGTAGTCAATATATATTTATATATTTAGATAGTAAGGGCCATAACATATGTCCCCGTGTAGATAGTCTATGGATTGAATGTAGATGGCGTTTCATATAGTTCGAGATGCTTCCGCCCAAGCAAGCTAGGATCGTCACCGGACCGTCACAGCTTCTGGTCCAGGAGATACCCATTGCTCTTGAGCCATTGCTCGACATCCTCGCGATCCCGCTTGAGCCAGTGGGCCTTGGCCTGGATGGCATCCAGGCTCTGTTGGACAGCTCGGTCGTAGCCCTAAGGGGGAAAAAAAAAGTTCGTTAGCTCAGATGATCCTAGTTTTCCATTGCTAATTTAATTGTAGGAGCGGCTACTCACCTTCTTATCCTTCGGCGCAAAGAACTCCTCCACATCCTTCAGCTGCTCCTCCGTGCAGAAAGAAGAGGTCGAGATCTGGACCACTGTGCCCAGCATGCCCAACGACGGAGGGAACCGCGCAACCACCTTGTCCCAGTTCTTCTTGAGCCAGTTCCACCGCTCCTGCACACCCTGAGCGTGGCCCCTCAGGCTCGCCAGCGGCATGTAGATATCCTGGTTTCTCACCTCGTCGCTACCGGCGAGCTCCAAGGTTCTTTGGATCAGCTTGATGTCCTCCGCAGCACCCAACGACCGAAGAGCCGTGTTCTTCTCATCCGAAGTGGGCGCGTGGCGGAACCGGTCCAGAACGACCTCGTACTCCTTCTCCCCACCATGTCTTAGGGCAATGCTGAAGACGCTACCACGGATGTTGGGGTGAATCGCGCTATGATCACCCTCCGCAAACCTCTTGAACATGTCCTTGGCGGCTTCCACCACCACAGGATCATCCGCCGCGCCGGCGCTGCCAAACAAGAGTGCCTTGAATTGCTGCAAGATATGGCCGTCATTCTCTGAGAACTCCCAGCCAAGCTCGTGCGCCTTGGCACTGACCAGGTTGCGCTGGAAGGCCTTCAACGCATCAAGGACTTTGCGGTCTTCGAACAACCACGCGGCACGAACCGCACCGACCCGAGTCAGCATCTCGTTCCACACGATATATTCCGACTCGGTGTCGAAGCCCTTCAAGAGGGAGAGCAATCCGGACGTCCTCTGGTAACCCGCCGCAGCCAAGGCGCCCGAGTCGGCAACCATACCCGCGCGATCCTCAACAGTGAGCAGTCCCGCCTTGGCGGCCTGTCCGAGTTTCTCCAGTCGCTCCGGGGTGTAAGAAGTGCGGTAGAGCCCCGAGTGATCAGCGTTGAGCTTGAAGAAATCAAGGTCGGGAACCTTGAATTCTCCCTCCCGCTTGTCAAGCACGAGGTCTTCCATGACACCGTGTCTCGTCCTCAACCCCAGGAACACGGGGTAGATCGTCTGATCCTCTTCGGGCCGTACATCTCCCGTTCGGAGGAAACGGTTCTGCTTCATCTTCAGGGTCCCAGCACTGGCATCTTCAGTGACCTGGACGACGGGGAAGCCGACGTACTTGGTCCAAATGTCCATCACCTTCTCGACAGGCTTGCCACTGGCGTCTGCCAATGCCGCCCACAGGTCTCCGGTCTGGGTGTTCCCATAGGCGTGCTTCTTGATGTAATTCCGCACACCCTGGATAAAGGTGTCCTCGCCCAGGTATTTGGAGATCATGCGCAACACTGACGAACCCTTGGAGTACGAGATGGCGTCGAAGATCTGGTTGATTTCATCCGCGCGTTTGACGGGCACCTCGATGGGGTGACTGCTGCGCAGCGAGTCGAGGGACAAGGCACACTGGAGGTTGTCAATCACATAGGTCTGCCACACCTTCCATTCCGGGTAGAAGGCGTTGCACGAGTACCACGACATCCACGTGGCGAAACCCTCGTTGAGCCAGAGGCCATCCCAGAAGTCCATGGTGACGAGGTTGCCGAACCACTGGTGAGCCAGTTCGTGCTGGACCGTCTCCGCGATCCGTTCCTTCACGGACGCTCCACTGGTCTTCTCATCCAGGAGGAGGTCGACGATCCGGTACGTGACCAAGCCCCAGTTTTCCATGGCGCCGGCGCTGAAATCGGGTATAGCGATCATATCCATCTTGGGGAGAGGGTATTGGCTGTCGAAAGTCTTCTCGTAGAAGGCGAGCGTCTTAGCCGCGAGCTCCAGGGAGAAGCGGCCGTGCTCAATATCCTGATCCGGCGTCGCGTACACACGAACCGGCACTCGGAAGTTGTTGGTCTCGATGTAATTGAGCTCACCGACAACAAAGGCGACCAGATAGGTGGACATGAGCGGAGACTTGTTGAACTTGACCGCTTTCTTCTTCCTTCCATTCGACTCGACCTCGGTTTCGGACGCGACATCCATGTTGCTCAGACAAGTCATGTGCTTGTCGGCGATGAGGGTGACGGTGAACTCGGCTTTCAGAGCCGGCTCATCAAAGCACGGAAACGCACGGCGCGCATCGGTGGGCTCCATCTGAGTGGACGCAATGTACTTCTTCTCTCCATCCTTGGTCTTGTAGGATGACCGGTAGAACCCAGCCATATTGTCGTTGAGGTATCCCGTGAAGGTGTGCTTCAGCTGGGCCTTGGACCCGGCCGGGATGGTCTCGGCGAACCTGACCGTCGTGACCTGCTTGTCGCTGTCGTAGGTCACTTCGGGGCTGGAGGTGACGACGACCCCGTTGGCCGACACGGTGGTGCTGTGGATGTCGATCTCGTTGGAGTTGAGGGAGATGGAGTTGGTGTCCTCGACGACATTGAGGCTGATCGTATTCCCGGTATTAGCAAGCTAGAGTCCCGGATTCCAGAAAGCAGTTGGATCAGCGGCCATAAAAAGTTTAGCGAACATACTCAATCACCACGGTACCCTCATAGGTAAACTTGTCAAAATCGGGCTCCAAGGTCAGGTCATAATGCAGCGGCTTGACGTTGGTGGGCAGAACCTCGCGGCCATGGGCGAGATTGGTCGAGCCGGAGGGCTCATCAGCATGCCTGGAACGACACATTCTGCGGTAGGAGCAATATCTCTTTTGGAATTGACGGAGGGGAGTAGCAGCAGTGGATTCAGTAGAGAAGCGGGTTGGCAGGCGAGACGGAGAGCGTAAGGACGATAACGATGACGATGACGACGACGAAAAAGAGACCGATCCGGAACGAGCGAGGAACCTTAAGCTGCTGCTGGGAGGATTATTCAACAGCCTGGCAGGTATCCTTGGTAATAAAAGGTTTGGGTTTGCAGAGTACCAGACTCGCGGAGAAGGCAACAACGGAATACGATACATGGACCTCCAAAAAAGACAAAAGAAGCGCCCCGACTGGCTGGCGGTTGGAGGCGGAGCAAGCGTCGAGTTTCTAGAAAAAAAAAAGAGGGGTAACACTGCAACCTACCCCGCCAGAGGAGGAGAGGAGAAGGAGAAGGAGGAAGGGGATAGGGTAATTGCCTGATGGGTGGGGGTTGAAGGGATTCTAGTGAGCAGAGCTGGATGGATGTTCGCAGCGGCGAGTCGGTCAGCTGTGACTTCCGCGGGCATTTCAGCTGCCGTTCCCCAATTGGGAAGCAGCGTGCGCGCGGGCAAGGGCAGCCGCTCCACCAATCAGAGGGCTGCATGGCGGGCGGTCAGCGTTGAGGCGGCACATGGCCAGCTGCGTTAGGCGGTGAGGCAAATAAGCTTAGCACTAGCCCGAACAGGAATGGCCGGCTGCGAGGGCTGTGCATCACATGACCACGCCTTTTTATTGGCCCTTTTCTTTTTCTCTCCTTCAGTCCACCAAGCAAGGTCGCCTCCAGCGCCATCTGGCTCTTGGGTAATTAGATGGTGCTCTACCTTTCCAATGTTCCCATTCAGTCGGTCGATTGCGTGGGAGCACTTCTACCTTGCGAGAAGGTCCGCCAGCCAGTTTGAGGGGTCCATTCTCCTGTGGGTGGATTTCCATAGATGACTGGGAACATCTATACCTGCATACCGACACGTGAACAACAATTCTTAGTCAGATTGATGCACGAGGATGGTCCCATGAACCGCCAATTTAGAGAAATGGACAAGGATCTCTGCTTCGAGACCTTCGTCTATCATGTCTAGCAATAATTACTACTACTAACGACTATGACGGGGGAGTATATATCCAGTGAAGCAGTAAGAAACACAAGCAGCATACATTCATAGACAGAACCCAACATCAACTCCCAACTTCAAAAGTTATCACCTTCACCGCCACTAGTTCTCACCACTCGTTGCTGCCGTGAGACGACATTCTCCGGAACCCGGGTGAAGATGCTCCGCGACCAGCCATCATCACCCACAATCGTCTCCTTGACGAGCGTGTACTTGCCCAGCCGGGGCAGGATGATAGCCCAGGCGATGTAGTAGATCGCTCCAATGGCAAAGATACCGATGGCGACCACGCAGTGCAGGTAGTACGGGAGCTCCTTGTAGACGCTTTCTCCGGCGTCCGGCGGGACGTATGGCGCCACAACAAGGTAGATGTTGGAAAGGAAGAAGAAGATCGCGACAGGGAGAGAGGCGCGGATGCCGGGGGCCCAGGACGGGAATTTGGAACGGTTCAGGTAGATGTAGATGAGGCCGCCGGAGACGAAGACATTGACGATGGAGAGCGGATAGGAGATCAGGCTGTGTGAGAGTCAGAAACAGTCACCCACACGAGAGAGAGAGGGAGGGAGGAGAAAAACTTACTTCAGAAGGAAGTTATAGGCATCGCCCGGCGGGGGAGCAAGCATGATGATCACGGAGACGAGGTAGTGCTCAAAGAGACCCGCGGCGGGGGAGTTGAACGGCCAGTTGCTGGCCCAGATTTTAGAAAAGGGAAGGACACCTTCACGGCCCAGCTCCTGGACGATCCGGCCCTGCGAGAACAAGACAGACAGGACATTGCCAAAGGCGGACAGGGCGACGAAAACCGACATCACCCGCTCCGCCCGGTCTCCGAACATGTTGCGGAAGAACGTCGCCGCCAGGATCTGGCCGGAGGACAAGATGTCTGCCTTGGGGACGGCGGCGAAGTAGGCGATGTTGACGAGAATGTACAGAATGCCAACGGAGATCACTGCCATTGGCGCCGCAATCTTCAGGGTGCGAGTGGGATTGCGCGTTTCGCTCAGGGCCTAGTTTCTGTCAGAAAAAAGAAACCTAAAATTCACGACATCGTCAAGTGCAAAGGGATCTTACATAGTTAGCATTTGAGTAGCCGATAAACGCCAGATGACATTGACAGGGCCGTGACGATGCCATATGCACTGCCGCGGGTCCCGCAAACGCATCGGAGAAGTTATCCGGCTTCTCGACCTTGAGGTGTCCACCCAGGGCGACCCAGCCGGTGACAACGATGATCAGGATGATGATCAGCTTGATGGTGCCGAGGAAGTTCTGCAGACGCAACCCCCATTTCAGAGCGGTGGCATGGATCAGAAACGCGGCGGAGATGCAGGCGAGGCCGACGCCGCGCTGGTTCCACCGCGTCACCTCGACCTGCGCGGCGTTGAGGATGTATTCGCCGAAGATGACGCTGTTGCCGGCCGCCCAGCCGAGGAGGACGGCGTAGGCAGCGAACATGGCCGTCGCGAGGAATTTGGGCTTCGTATAGACATACTCGAGGTAGTTCTTCTCACCGCCGTTTCTTGCATACCACATCTGTCAGGCTGAACCCTAGCCAAAAAGGAAATCTCTGGACGAACATACCTGGGAATAGCAGTACCCCATTCCAGGTAGACGGCAGTACCAGCCACGGCGATCAGCATGCCGGCCACCCAGATGAACAGGGACAGACCAACACTGCCCGTCAGCTCCAGGATGGAGCTCGGGGTCGCAAAGATACCCGTGCCGATGATGCGGTTGAAGATCAGGAAGGAAGCACTGACGACGCCGATCTGCCGCCGGCTCTCGGGCGTACTGTTGAAGACATTGCTTTCATCTGCGCCGGAATCCAGTCAGGAAGAAAAACGCAACCGCGAGAACTGGCGTCACACATACACAGTTGAGAGATGCCATCCACCTTGCGAGGTGCCTCTTCTGTCGTATGCTTCACATCAGGAAGCGTGCTCTTCTGGATCGTAGGATCCAAAGCTTCGGAGGAAGACATATTCAAGTAACTTTTCCTTCTATCCGTTGGACCACTTCTTCTTGAAGCTCTGATGTGCTTAGTTCATGCCCTCGTTTCTAATAGTGCTGGTGCCGCACATATAGTTCTCTCTCCGAAGAAGACGAGAAAGAGGGAGGGAGGGAGTCCAATATATATAAAAAAAAAGAAGTAGTATTAAAAAAAAAACAAAACTAAGAAGGGGAAAAAAAAGACTCGAGCCAGAAGATGACACACAGGCGCAAGCTGTTCCAGCCGCGCGAGGCGTTTTTTTTTTCTTGCTAGCTCAGCAGCACAGACGAAGTTGTATGAGGCAATGGGCAATGCGATCTGAGGTTACAACGGTAAGCCCGACAGAACGCAAGCAAGACGCGAATATTCGCGGATAGAATCGGCGTTGGGTGGAGGGATGAGGAGGAGGACGACGATGATGTGCTCACGCTAAATGTGGTGCAATACTAAGCACCTAGCAGTAGTAGTAGTAGTAGTAGACAGTGTGCCCTTGGGATCTATAAATTGACATTCGGAGCTATTCTGAACAAGCAGAATTAAACAACAAGAAAACGAGCAATAGGAACAAAGGAAGTGGGGATAAACAGAGATTTGGAGGTCCTTGACATGAATCTATACAAGAAAGTCCAGGCGATATCCATAAGAAAGTGATGGCATCATCGCGGGAGAGATTTTTTTTTAGCTCTTCTGGCCAGCATTTTCTCCTGGTAAGTTCCGTCTCTCTCGTTCTCTCTCCACAGCAGGCACAGCACATGGCGCAATGGTGCCATCGAGCAAAATTTTCCCTCAGGCAAATTGCATCGACGATGGTCCGCCCGCTGTGACTGGAGTCGGCGGACGCTAACAGGGCCGGCGGAGGCTCAGACGCCTGGAACGGGCCACTCTGACACGCTGAAACCGGGGCGCCGCGATCACGCAATTTTTGCCAAGCCCCAGAGCCATCGGCATCCCGAGCCGCTGCCCAACCACTCGACGGAGTCTGCCAGCCTGACAGCTGGGCTGGTCCATCCGCCGACAACCAGGTTCCTAGAAAAAGAAGAAACTGCATGAACAGGACGCAGATTGCATGCACCAAGCCATTCGAGTAACCAATTTGTATGCATTATCGAATTTGTAGCCAAAACAAAGGAGAAGATAAATACACAAGACCGCCCTGAAGCCCTGATTGGGAATATTAGACCACCAATTCCGTTGCACGCATCGCGCTTCTTCAACCAGCATAAACGCCGTCGCAGCCCAGTGCTAGAAACACGTATATACAATATATGAGTGTTTGAATCCACAGAAAACGCCGTACGAGATCGGTGAGATGAGCCCACGCGCCGTCCCTCGGCAGCATGCGCTCTCATCAGTGCGATCCCCGGCAGCGCCATCCAACAATACTCCTTTTTGCCCTGCAGTGGTGATCCATCCAAAAAAAAAAAGACGTGAAGAAGACCACAAGCTGGTGCCGAGAACCGTAAATGTGCCAATCTGGTAATCCCGATCCCAACAGAAAACGCCGCCGAAATCATAAGTTCCTTCGTTGGTCTTTCCATCGGATATAACGCATTGAAAGAAAAACGAAAATAAAAGAAACACAACAATACAACAGACACGGGACCAGACAAAGGTCCGCCAAGGACAAGTCAAAGCATAAAGTCGAGAAGAAATATTAGGTAAGGGTAATCTGATCTGGATCCGTCAGGTGGCTGTCGTTTCCGCGTACTGAAAGAGTGCACTGGGCTAGAATTCGAAGCTATGCATTCAACACCGAGGATACCTGCTCCTGGGAGGTCGTCACAAGAATGCAACATGTCGGCCATTAAAGTCCCATAAATGAATTGGGTCTGAACGGGTCGGGTCCAATGCATCGAAAAAAAAAAGAAAAGGAAAGGAAAGAACAAGAAACTCCGTGATAGATAACCTATAAGTTACCGGGGCGGACTGACCCCAGCAACCTGATGAGCAATAGCAGGAGAACTAGGACGATGACTCAATGAGGGAACCTTTCCCGCGGTCGTGCCAGGAGGTGCTGATGCCCGCTTAGCCATCAGGGCAATTTTCTTCCGGAGAGACGCCAGACGGGTGCGAATGCTCGAGACAACTGCATCACGTCAAATTTCCTCGTCCCGGATCCCCACAAACGGACTGGATCGGCAGAAATACTTACGTTTCATGACCACCTTGCGATCCTCGACCTGCACTCCATCAAGAACCACCTTGTCTGCATCAGCCCCTTTCTCGCCGCCCTTGCCGGACCGAGGCAATTCGTCCGTCTCCAAAACAGCCTCGAGCATCCGGATAGCGGTCACGTATGCAATCTCACAGCCCGGAAGGTCTTCCCCAGTGAGCTCGTTGATGGCAGCGGCCCGGCTCATCTCGAGCGCTCGGTCGTACATCAGCTTTTCCGCCGTAACCCCAGAGCTGACCACAACATTATCCGCCGAGGTGCCCAGTCCTCCTACAGAGGTCGTGTCGGTGGGGTGGTTGTTGGGATGACTGGGGTGGTCGGGCGGAAGTCGCTTTTGAGCTTCAATCAGCTTCAAGCGAACAAATTCAGCCTTCTCCAGCACTTCGTTGAATCGGCTGCGGACCCATTGGACGACATTGTTGATGCGAGTGCCCACCAAGGCACTCGTCGCAGACATGCCTTCCTTCCCCTCGGCGAGACCATCGCCACGGTTCTTGCGCGCCCACCACGCGCCGGCAATGTCCATTGATTTCGCCAGCAAGGACAGGGCCTTGACGTAGAGCACCAAAGCCTCTTCCGACAAGGTGACAATCGCATCGGGCGTCAGCTCGCCATCGTCCGTCTCCGCAAAACCTCGGTCTCCCGTGGCAGGCTTGTCCGGTGTATCGGTCTGCACAGACGGAGTGAGAGGAATGAGCTGCTTGTACTTGACTTCCGCAAACCCGTAGACGACGTCGCTACGAGTTGCACATTCCTCGATGGACTGGACGACCTTGGTATCTTCGTCCACAGCAGCATTGCCTTTCTGGCCATCGCCCGCGAGTACGAGGCTCTGTTGAGCCGTCGGATAGGCAGGGTACGGATTATACGCCAAAGGCGGGGAACGGCCGCCCTTGCCGAGAGTGAGAGGAGGGGAGAAGCCAACGCCGAAGAGCCGACCACTCGCCATATTCAACGCCTTGGAAATCGCAGAAGTTGCGGATGACGGGCTCTGACCGTATCGACGTTCGTAGGAACCTTGGCGGTGATGCGAGTCGGCTCGGGGGCGTCCGCCGGTCGTCTGCGCGGCCTTCGGAGACGAAGTCTGGTGGTTGCCTGCTGCCGTTGACACATTCTGCACCGTAGCCCGCCGCGTAAGGGCTCCCGCTTGCCGGGGTGTACCCTGGTTAGAGACGCCGGCCCGAATACGCGGGCTGTTGGCGAGCTCATCGGCAAACGCGTTGACTTCAACTGCACGCTTCTCCACGACCACGTAGTCGCGCTCGAAGGCGACGTCCTGAGCCGCCCGTTCCCGCTCCTCCCTTGCCCGCGCCTCCTGATCGGCCGTTGGCGAGGCCTCCGGAGTGGCGGGAACACGGCCTTTCTTGCGCTCTGCGGCCGCCGGGGGCGTGGGGTTGCGATCCACCGATTCTTGCCGTCCTGGAGGTGTTTGTCGAGCCGTGACAGCAGCGCGTTGCAGGTCATCACCCCTGGCTGCCAGCTTATCGCCACTTCCAATCCGCCGCATGGCATCCGCTTTCGGTGAGTCGAGACGGGTAGGAACCGGCTGCTGCGGGACCGCAGGAGAACGCTCACGGCCAGCAACAGGTGGCTCTTTGACTTCCTCGAATGCTCCTCCATCACGTACGGACCGCGGCCTCGATTCTCGGGAATCCGGACGGGTCTGATTGGGACCGGCCGCTTCGACATCCGCCGAAGGATGGCGACGAGTCACAGGGAGATCGTCACCGACCAGTCCCGGAATTTCATCTTTGATGACGGGGCTCTCAAAGAAGTCCTTGAAAGTCATTCTCTCCACGGGGTTCCGTTTGAGAAGGCCCTTGATGAGTTTCTTGATATCATCGGACGCTTCAATCTCCTCCGGAAACCGGATCTTGTCTTCACCTTTTTCGATCTTGCGAAGGAGTTCGACGTGATTGGACGCCCTAAAGGGCGGCTTCCCGACCACCATCTCGTACAGGACCGTTCCCACCGACCAGAGATCCGCCTTAGCATCGTATTTCTCATATCGTAGAATCTCGGGAGCCATATAGAGCGGCGAGCCGCAGAGTGTTTCGGCCAACGACGTCGACGGCAAGGAACGAGCAAAGCCAAAGTCGGCAATCTTGAGCATGGGCAGGGAATCCAGCCCCGCCAAGGGGGTAAAAGAGTCCTCGCTTCCTTTGAAGGGGATGATTTGAGCGATGCCATTGCGGTATGAGGCTGGGGAGGGACACAGAAGAAGATTCTGAGGTTTGATGTCCCGATGGATCAGATTCCGATCCCGGAGGAACTTGAGGGCACTGGACAATTGCTTGAGGAAGTGTCGGACGATGACCTCATTGAGAGCACCAACTCGAGGATTGGGGTACTTGGCTATCATATCGCGGGTGTAGCGATGGTTCCCCAGCGTTTCCCGCCTCTTGATGAAGAGGGACAGGTCTCCCAGGGCGCAGTATTCCATGACCAGATGGATGTGCGAGGTGGACTCATGGCAATCGATAAGAGCGACGATGTGGGGGTGGTGGAGGCCCTTGAGAATGTCGATCTCCGAGGACAGATTATCTTTGAGCTTCTTGTTGAGTTTCGACAGGTTGACCGACTTGATGGCGACGTAGGAGCGATGTTTCTATATCAGACGTGGAGTCAGTTTAGCAACGCATTGTCAAATCCACACATTGAGCAGGAAAGGATCCCCGGGATGCAAGGACGAGGTTGTGTGTGTGTGTGTGTGTGTGTGTGTGTGTGTATCACTCACAGAATGGATGCCCTGATAGACCGTCGCAAAACTGCCTCGTCCAATCTCGTCCAACCTCAAGTAGCGGCCTATGGGGACCTCGTTATGGGAGCCCTCGCGGGCGCGCCTCGAGGCCGACGACGGGGGACGCTGAGCGGCCATGGCCGGAGAAGTTGAGCCTGGTCGTATGGAGCGTCACGCCACCTGAGGGAAACCGCTAGCGGAGGTCCAGCGTTGAAGCCGACCACACACTCTCCGTCACAACTACCTCGACAGCAGGGGGGTGCGCGACGGAGAGCAAATGTTGCCCATGAGGAGCGATCTGGAGCGGTCGAAGCTGATGCGGAGGAAGGCGGAGGAAGACCGACGGAGATTAGCAAGCAGAACCGGAAGGAAATAAAAGAAGCGGGAAGTTCCCGTCGAGATGGTTAAATAAGAGGGATGGCAGGTGAAGGAGCGGCAGCGGCTCGAGCGGATATAGGAGGCCGCAGGCGTGCAGTGCAGCAAGGCAGCAAGTACCTAATGTATATATGGATGTACCTAGCTGGGTATATAATGGAATTCTGGAACTTGTACCAGACGGAGGTCGGAGAGAAGTAGCCTTTGACGAGTTCGTGGTAGCGGACAGAGGACTTCAGACAGGGGGTAGATGGAGGAGCCGGATGAGGGGGGGGAAGCTCCCCGGGATCGACTGGGTGATTGATATGGGGGAAGGTCGGACGGAAGTACAGTACAGTATCTGATAGATACCAGATACCAGATAAGAGGAGGGAGGGCGATGAGAGGAGAGACGAAGGCGGGCAGGCACCCAGCACGGACAGATGCAACGACCGACAGGCAAGGAGGATGAGGTGATGAGGATGGGGAGTTGCGTGGGTTTGGCAGGCAGGAAGGTTAGCCAGCAAGCAGCAGCCAGACAGGCAGGCCCAAGGACGACGGGGGGCGTGACCGAGACCAGGGCAGCGAGCGATAATGGAGGAGTCGAGCAGCAGAGAGCAGCAGCCAGCCAGGCGGTGGGCCTGCCTGGTCAGTGGTCGCCGCGTCACTGGACAAGGCGGTCAGGAGGGCGGCCAGGGCACGCCGACTGCCTGTTGGGGCAAGGCGTCGCTGTCACTGGTTCCTTACTAAGGCAGCAGCTGATAAGTCAGCTGCTCCTGCGCTTGAAGAGGAGTGATCAACGAGGCATCATTCTTGTTGACTGACTAACTGACCGCCAGCAAGGACACTGGGAGGCTGCCTTGGTATGTCCTGTATGTGCATTACAGCGCGGTCACGGCGAGCTCGACGGCCGGCGTGACCCCAGGGGGCGTGACTCAGGCCTGAAACAAGCAGAGCCCGCTGTATCGAATGACGGCACTCGTGATCTCTATCTGCTCGATGTCTAGCAGGCAAATGAACGACAGTGGCGTGCTCTTGCGCGCTGTTAATTCGTCTGCCAGGTTAAGGTTTACTTGCTCCCGGTCAAACGTGGCGCTATACCGAAGGTACCGACAGAACCAGAGGACCTGGACGATAGCGTACCACAGGTGATAGGCAGCTGCTGTACCTACGCGGCGTCATCGGGGGGTGACACAGCAGCCACCACCCCTACCCAGTTCACCAGGTAATAATAATAATAATACTCTCAGGACAGTAATTACATGCGTAGATAGAGGCGTCTCGTCTGACGAAAGCCACCACAACAGCCATCCAGCAGACCTACCTTGATGGCTGGACAATGACCGCTAGGCCGGCCAGCTCGCCACTCACCTGCTGCGGTCACACCCGTGACTTCACTTCAGCATGACGCCATCGCCCAATCGGGCAATCGACAGCAAGCATCCTGGCCTTGCTGGGCAATCACAGCAATCGCTCCATCGCCGGGCCCCCACAATCACATCCGGCTGGGCTGGTTATCGACTCAAAAGTCACTCGCTCAATGCCTCAGTCCAGTCTGCCTGGCAACAACGCCGCCGTCCATCGGCCATCCCATCTAGCTTCCACCCCCAGGCAGGCATTCTGCATGCAGATCTCTTTCTTGGCTCTGTTTCTGCAGGCGATAAAGAAATCCATAAATGCCGTCGTTGCCGGGGATATAGTTGTTATCACTGACCGTACTTTCCAGCAATACTCCAGACCAAGCACCTAGCTAGATACTCATCATTCATCACTTCTTCGTTACCTCTATATACGTCCTGTCGATATTATTGATACTTAGATGCTGTACATATTTACCTACCTACTTATCTGTATGGAAGTATGCACTGTACTGTACAACCTACCCCCTGCTCCTTCCTATCTGTCTCACCATCCCCGACCTATCACCGCCTTCCACAGAGCGTTTGCATCTGCGTCTGCGTCTGCGTCTGCGTTTGCTTCTGCATGGCCTTACTTTACTTAGCTAAGGCTTAGCCCTTACAACGTGGCGCGTAGGAAATTATTTCCCTAGATCTATTATTATTTATTAACCAGGAGACACTCTGAGCAGACAGTTACGGAGTATTATTAAATGCTAGTTAAATCTTCTTCTTTTTTGTTTCGTTTTCCTTGAATTGCTATGTTACACCGCATGATAAATATTACTTACAACTGGGAGGGTGATTATTGATTATTGACAGTCCATATCAATAGCAAACGGATGCATGCTGCCTGCAGGCATATGTGTTAACCCGGCTTCTCTTCTCCACAGGATCGCTGTCACATCACAACAGGCCAGCAGCAATCTCGTCTATCTATCTATCTACGACTCGATGCACTATTTATTTATGTCCTATAAAATAATTATACACTTCAGTTATCATTACAAGTAAGATGTACTGTATCTATCTAATATATGTACAGTACAGCACAGCGCTCAGCAGCAACAACAACGTCCAAGTTAACAATAAGAATAATAATAACGCTCATAATGAGAAGAAGAAAAGCATTAATCATATCATAAGAATAACAAAGCAACCTTCTCGACATCTCTTTTTTTTATTAGGGGACAAGACACGCTCATCGCATCGTTATCCTCTTAAAGAGAAAGAAAAAGCCAAGTCCACGCCGCCCAATGTATGTATGTTGGTTGCATGCAGTAGAACCCAACACCCAGGAAACAAACGCACAAAAAGCAAAAGACCAGACGTATAGGACACGAAGGGCACCAGCTTTCGTCTCGTCTCGTCTCATCTATCGTATCGTACTCCCACAGAACGTACTCGAACAGTAATACAACACTAAAATATACACACAGAAACTAATTAGTTCCCCCCGCACAGTCAGAATCTAAACGTCTAGACCTCTCACAAAAAGCCACAGCACCACTGGGACGATGACATTGTCGTTTCCGCCCGTCAACACGGCCTCGGTAAGACTGGCGACCCCGGCAGCGAGCACGGATTTCACAATCACCAACACCCAGGCAGATTCCTGCCCTTGCCACCGGCCAACGGTCAACAAGGCTCGTGCAACGATCAATCCAACGGAGACAGCCGCCGCAAACGCGACACTGCCTTCGAGTGATTTCCCCCCGCCCCAGAACCATTTGAGACGTCCGAAGCGCCGCCCGATCAAGGACGCGGCTGCATCCCCCATGCCCACGCAGATCACACCACTGACCATGCTGACGTCCCGAGAAACGACGTCCCACCCGGGCCATGGCAGCGCTTCTGTGCGTGGGAGATCTGCGAGCGAGAGCCACAGAGGGATAGCGCAGCCAATCAAGAGGAAAATGTGCGACACAATCACTGGGCCCCGGTGGTCACGGCCGTCCGTGTAAGGAGCCAGGAAGTAGGTTAGTGGCTTCGAGATCGGAGGCAACTGCGAGGCGCGGAAGAGATCCAGAAGCAAAAACACCGCCAGCATCAAGGCGAGGGCCAGCGCAGAGAACGCAGGGTCGATGTAGGTAATCGGAAGAAACATCAGCACCATCATACCGTGGAAGACTTTGCGTCGCGTGTCCACCTCGACCACCTTGCTGAGTCGGAAGACAATGGCCATGCCGACCGCCAGAACCAGCACGCAGTATGCGCAGATCAAGAGACGCGTGTTGGCTTCTCCGAAGGTGTCGTGACGCAGATGTTCGACCCAACCCAAATGGCAGGCACTGTTCCTTTCCTCCTCGATGCTGCGCGGCGGAAGCTGGATCCAATGTTCCAAATTGAGCATGAGCACCCAGAATCGGAAAAAAGATATATTCCCGAAGAGGTAACCCAGAGCCCATCCGAAGGGCTCGCTCCCATGAAGGGCTTTTTCTGCAACATACTTCCGGATGGGACCCAGGATGATAAGAAGCACCGCAGCATACGTATATAAAGCATACAGCCATTTCCGGATCCTCGCCTGCGCAGCGGTCATCGAAAAGAACGGCGCCAGACCGGGCGCCGCCGATCGCTTCCGTCGACCCCCAGGAGTCGTTCGGGGTCGATGGGAGCGCGCAGTTTCGACCTCGGCAAACGTGGAAATCGTATGTCGTCTTTTATGCGGCGACACAGAGTGTCTCGCTCCCGTCCAAGAGCTTGGCCAAAGATCATCGATTTTGATGGTGTCTGTTGCCAATGCGGTCTCTCGATGCGCCGCACCACCAATGTCGCCATTTGGACGAACGTGAGAATTTCCCAGGCTTGCCTTGCCTGGTCTTCTCGCAGCGGTAGTGCCATTCAAGTCATCGCTATCTGAAGCCTGGTCCTCACTATTTGAGGCGAGTCCGGTGATCTTTTCACAGATTTTGTGGTCGAGAACGTTGAGGATATTTCTCGACGCGCGCGAACGGCTGGGAGAGCGTCGAAACTTCCACGAGGGGACCCTGGCCAGAGCAACCTCCCACCCAAGAACAGAGCGACACAAGATAAAAACGCTTAATCCTCCAAGCCACAGCAGTGCCTTCAGGATCTCGGCCTGCGGCGAGTTGGAAAAAATAACTAAATTGATCAATGCCGTACTCAAAAGTTGAAGCTCCGCGGGAAGAAGACTCGTCGTCAGAAGAAAATCAAGAGTGGGTATCAATGCCTGTTGTAACGGATACATTAGGAGCAACAGCTCCGGATTCAGCCCCCTTAAAGAGAGAGGTTTAGGTGAGCTTGACGGCTCGAAGAGCTCTGGATGCTCTGAAACAATAATCGGAATAGCGGTAATCGCCCATTGAGAGAGGCTGAAGCCATGGAGAGACCTGTAGAACGGAATGACCTGCGGCGGTAGAGACGAGAGACTAAGGATGATATTTGGCAGGACTAGTGCCGGACGATGTTGGCTTAATGATAACGAGACGAGAACGGGTATTATAATAGGGTATAGTAAGGGAGCCGGGTCAAAGCTAGGTGGAATGGAGAATGAGAAGCGGATTCGTGGTCTGACGCATTGTCTTGAGGAGGCCCAAAGCGATATCCGGAAGGGATAGAGAGCGTATAGTCCGAGAACAAGAAAGGAATAAGCGAGGAGTTCTGAACGTCCAGTCAGTCAGTTTGTCACTTTTACATGCGCAGCTTCCATATCTGAGATCGTACCTCTGTGCCAGGATAATGCCAACAAGCGCACATCCTCCCGAAGAAGGACGACCGCACCGGTGAAAAACAGCAGCGCAGTCTCAACCAGCCTGCGGAGCACTTCCCTGCATCTTTTCCGGACCGTCGCTTCCCGCCGCAGGACAGAATCCCGATGTGACTCCTCGCCCGAACTCCCTCTCGAACTCCGCGACGGAGATCGAACGAACAGCGACCAGGGCAGACTGTCCACCAGCCACGACGCAGGATCTTCGGGGGTAGTGTCCACTGCCGAAGTTCGCAGGCCCTTCCGTGGTCGCACCGGGGGCGCAGGCAGGCCCTTCAAGAACCCGGTACTTTCATCGTCCGCCTCTGTGCCGCTGTCGCTGGAGGTCCTCGACGGTGTTATCCATATCGGGGTCTGGCCGTAGCTATTCCCATTGACGGCCGGTGGAAACTCTCCAGGCTGCTCGAGCAGCCGGGAGCCCTTCCGATAGTAAGGGTGAGGGGAGCGAGAGAAGCGCCGCAACCGGTCATCATCAGGGACGGTGATTTCGCGAGGGAACGGAGACGACGAGGACGATGGCGGCGCAGTCTCATTTATCCCATCATCCTGATCTCGCGTGAATGCCATAGCATCTCCTCCATATGTGGACTTTTTTTTCTTTCCCCCAACTAGACCGCCATGTCTTAGGGAAGAGAAGAAGAGTTTCGAGTCGAGTCAATAGGTAGTAGGCGAAAAGAACAGCAGTAAGGCAACGGCGTTTCGTCTACCCGTGATCGGATCAAAATCCACACAAAAGGATGAGGATGTCCAAGTGACCGACCGCTAGAAAATTGAAGGCAGCGTCCCATGTCCTGGGGTAAAAAATAGGAAACAAATGGGCGGCGGTGGTGACAAGTGGAAGGTGGCTTTTTTTCAGCAGCGATGCACCACGCAATCACATGTCCGGCAGGCTGTCGCGTTAGGAGGATTCCGTCACCCCAACGTGGCGCCGCCAGTCGTGGCTGGGCAGCCAGATTAATCATTAGCCTCTGCCGTTTGCAATCAATCTTGAGGCACACAGCACGACCTTGGATAGCAGTGGATACTGCGAGCTGATCTAGTTGGAGATATTACATGTTGCTTGCATTTTCGGTGTTCTCTGGCGAAATGACAGGACATGAGAACAGTTTGTAATCCTGAATAATCCTAATCTAGGCTGATAGGAGTCAAAACAATACCTAAGAAAAGTCCATAATCTTCTATGTAGCTCTCCATTATTTCTAACCAGCAGTTGTGGCCCGTACAGTGATGCCGGCTGCTAATCTCCGACCCTGCTGCCCCCAGACAGCCTTACACGGAACGACCTGGCCTTTCCACGGGCCCTTGGTAAGCGGACACGCAGTATAGATCGTCAACTGGGCCGTCTCGATCACATCATCTCCCAGACGACCCAATACCTGCTGCACATGAGTCTCAAAGGAAGGACCGAACTGCTCCGTTCCGATCTCAATGCTGTAAAAGGTGGTCTGATCGTCGACCACTGTAGACCAGACCTTGTCGCTCTGACTAGTCGTGTCTTCTGCTGTGATCTTTACACGGTCACAGCGTGAACCCAGACCTTGCCATTCAATATCGCTGCCCCGAGGGAGCGTATCGACCTGAACGGCAAGGAAAGGAGGCATCTGTGGAGTCCCGCTCACGACGTCTAAGTTCGGCAGGGAGTGTCCACGTGGCGAAGCATGTCGGGGATCCTCCCGACGTCCGTATTTGATGTCCCACGCGTCCAGTGCGACCTCCTCATCGTCGTCATCGTTTTGGTTGATATGCTGACTGTTCATATTC